TCCTTGGAAGCAAGAATGGCCAGACTTCGTCTCACTTATTTTGGTCATGTTGTAAGAAGGGACCATTCCCTGGAGAAGGATGTCATGCTTGGTAGAGTGGAGGGCTGACGAAAGAGGGGGAGGCCTTCAATGAGATGGATTGACAATGTGGCTGCGATGATGGGCTCAAATATAGCAGGGATTGTGGGTCTGGCGCGGGATCGGGCAGTATTTCGTTCTGCTGTGCATGGGGTCGCTATGAGTCGGAAACGACTCAACGGCACTTAACAACAACAACATAGTAGAGCTGACAAAGGGAAAGGTTGTGGTCACTGCTTGGTCACAGCCAGCTACCCAGAGGGACTGAGTAGCTGAACCTGTGGGCTTGGGACCATAGTCTCAGGGGACATCAAGCTCAATTGGCATAACATACTATACAAAACACTGTTCCACTTCCTACTTTGGCGAGTACCGACTGGGATCTTAAAAGCTAGCAAGCTGCCATCTAGATGCAATGATGGGTCTCTCCTTGTCTAAAGCAAAGAATGAAGAAAACCAAAATTCATGGAAACTAGTCCTAGCAACTGGTACACCATCAATCTGCAGCCTATACGACTATGAGACCAGAAGAACTAGATGGTGCCTGGCTACCACTGTCATCCATGTGAAAGAGGATCTAACTAGGGGATCCTTGATAGAGAGAGAGAACAATGTGGAACAAAACGCAAAATCATTTGGAGGAAAAAAGGGGGCGGGGGCGGGGGCGGGCCAGGTTTGCTGGTCCAATAGCCTGGTGGAACCGCTGAGATTATGGCCCCTAGCTGCCCTTCAGGTCTGGAATTGAACCCACACCTGTGGTTTCCAGCCAAACAAAAGACAGGCATATGAGTTGAACATTTACCTGAGGTAGATACATTCCTTGGAGAGAACAATTATGGGAGAAAGAAGGGCTGCTTATGCACAGGGAGACAGCTCAGGGGGCAGGAGTGTATGGAGGGATGGACACTGGGAACTGGTAACTATGGGGAGGAAGTGGGAGGGGAGCTGTTGCATTGAGGTAAACTGTGGTCAATGTCATGAGACAAAGTATGTGTGAACTGCTGTATGGAAAGTGAATTTGCTCTGTAAATCTTCACCCAAATCACAATTTAAAAAAATAAAAAAGTGGTGCTTAGATAAGAATACAGGTTTGGCTGCAAACTCATGACCCTCTAACAGACTTCTTTGACTTTGTCCAATTCAATCGCTCTCTTGATGAGGTTTCAAGAGAATTACAAGTCTAGAGTAGATCATTTGCATTAGAGATCTCCAGGCTGCCTGCAATTTCTTTCTTACACACGTATACCCTCTAGGGCACTTTCTTCCAGAGACCGAGAGTCCACGATACTTTTCCTGTCCTAGGTACAAACAGCTCTAAGTCAGGCTGCAGTGCTCAAGAGAAACACCATCTTCCAAGCTGGCTGTTGTCCAGATTCATCCTCCTCATTGTAGTGAAACACAGGCCAGGAAGACAAAGAGCAGGTTCATCTGTGAAAGGAAACAGAAAGCCATCTGGTCCTGGAGAAAGGATGCTTTCAGTGCTTCCTCCAGGCCCCGGGCTGAGGTGATAGAAAAGGCTGGCACTGCAGGCTCCTGAAATACTCTCTGAAAGTTGGGGAAATTAGAGATTTGAGGGGGTAAATTACTCAGTCACTGCTAGACTTGGAATCTTATGCTTAGTTTTCCTTCTGTGCTATGTATGTCCTTTCATTTCTAAGAACATTTTTCTAGACAGACCAAAATTTCCTAGTACTAACTTGATTTGATCCTGATGAATTTAAATCAAATTATTCAGAGAATTTGATGACTTGCTTTCTCACTCCCTTCATCATAGGTATTAATCAGATTCCTTAGTCTCTCTTACTTAGATTGGCAAACCTGAGAAAGCTTTTTTGGAAGTGGGGGGGTATAGTGAGAGCATAGCAAACACTTAATTTATTGCTTGGTAATTGTGCAATTAGTACATTTCTTCCTCTAATAAAACACTTCTGTTCCCCAATTTGTAACTCTGCTATATTCACTGGGATCTCTGGAAGAGTTACCTGAGACCAGCACCCACCCCTCTCTTCTGAAGCACATAACTGATAATCTCTATGACAGGAAAAGGTAAACAAATCCTTAACAGGCAAAGCTGCATAGCTGCCCCTAGAGGGCAAACAAGTCTTATTTTAATCTGCCAATTCCCTATCTGGCTGACTCAGCTGGTCATTCTTCACTCCACTTCTGACTACACAGTCCAAAGCCAAGCCTAGTTTGCTTCCTATCATTCTGGAAGGAGTCACTGGTTCACAGATGACTCCACTGCAGTTTAATTAGAAGATAATCCTTCTTCCCTGGGATTAAAAAGCTGAGGTCTGTCTGTCAAATGGGCTCAAGCAAAGCAATGACTGTAAAGACGGTGCAGGACTGGGTAGTACTTTGTTCTCTTGTGCATATGGTCACTATAAGCTGAACTGATGCAACAGCACCTAACAATAACAATGGCTGTCAAAGACACTGCATTTTGTTTCAAGCAAACATTTGGCTCTTTAGAACTATCTAAGCCAAGGAAAATGAAAGGAGCTGAAATACAACAGAAATCTTTATTAAAATGTGTCCTTCAGTAATGTTAGCATACATAAAATATACACACATACATATGTACACTCTTTGACACACCTCACAGTTTGCCACCATCAGTTTAACCAATAAATTAAAACTTAAAAAAAAAAAAAAGAAAGAAAAGGCCAGGAGAGGAAGGATAGAGGCGGTGTGACTAAGGGCAAAATTTCCATGTTTTATCTGGTAAGAAATTGCAAATTTCTCAGAATTTCCCTGGGGAAAACTTGTGACCACAGAATCTTTGAAATAAAATACATAAATCCCCAACCCTCCTCCCCCCAAAAAGGAGAAAGATTCCAAAAGATGCAGTTACAACAAGTGTGCTTCTCAGAACAGGAGCATTCATTCCACTTCATACTCTGGCTTCTGCACCTTCTGGCTTCAAGACAGTCTGCCCCTCAGCTGGGGCAGAGAGGTTCTTATGGGCACTTGGGTTTGGTGCACCTTGGGCTCGGGGGGTAGAGGGGCAGGCTGCAGTATGGGAGCGGGGGGAGCCACACTCATCTGAGGTGATGTCTGGTACATCGTCTGACTGCGTATCAGAGCTCTCCAGGTCACTGCGGATGCTCTCAGGCTGAGCCAGACTGATGTCCCAAGCTTTGCTGGCCAGGCAGTCTTTCTGTTCACAGCTTTGGTGTTTACAGGAGGGATCCTCTTCACTGCCACCGCTGCTACCACCGCCAGTGTCACCACCACCACCACCTTCTTCTTCATTCTCTGCCATCTGTGCGTGAACGTGGAGTGAGTCCTCTGTGCTGCTTCCACTCACCAACTGATAGTGGCTTGGTTTGGCTTCAATGTCCACTTGGATTTCCATATTGTTGCACTCTCTGTGGAGACAAAATCCAGTTTGCTGAGTCAGGCACGGGGGATATAGTCTGCAATACCTGTTGGTAAAAGTAGTTTGTGGATTCAGGATTATAGAGTCCAAAAAGAAAGGTAAAGAAATAACTAAAATAAAAATTTTAATCTAACATTCAAATAAAAGGGAGAACAGTAATTTGATACATTTTGCTCATTTAAAACACATATACACATGCATGTGCTTCAGGTAATCTCTTTACACATCTCAGTAAGATCTTCCAAAACTCACCTAAGGATTGTATCCTCAACTACATTATTCAAAATACAAAAGCGAAAAAAGATTTACAGCTTTCCACTTCTGTGCTACCACTAGAAGAAGCCAGAGTCCCTACAGTAAGGAATGCTGCAATCACACCATACTAGATATACCAGCTTCTCAAAAAGAAAGAGAAGCGGCCCATGGAAGCCACATAAGCAAAGGGCATCAGGAGAGCAGAAACTCTTGATCCATATCATTGAACACTGATCTAGTTCTACATTCCATGTGAGTAGAAACACATCACTGCAATGGCCAAGAAAAGACAAAAAGAGAGGAAAGAAAGGAAAGGAAAAAAATCTCTAAAAATCATGTGCTAAAAATCACCACCGAGAAATGCCAAACACTCTCATACCAAGAACTTGCTCAAATTCACAGGGTACACTATATAATACCACTAGATGACACATAGGGCCCTAACATGAGGCACTGAGCTTCTGAAGGACTAGTACCCGACCAAAAAACGCAACCTCTCCTGGGCATCTGACTGTTCACATACCTGTCCTGTGGGTTGTAGGAACTTATTATGGAACCGGCCATAGCACGAGTGCTTGCGTTGTCACTAATTGCACCAAGACTGGCTGTGTCTTTGGGGAAAATTTCCTTTTGGACATCGGCTTGGACTTCTAACCTGTGTAAAGAGGGACGGTCAAGTTAATATAAGACCTGGATATCCCAAGACAATCTGCTTCCTGGCACATCTCCTTCATCATTCTCTTATAAATTGTGGTGATGTGATCTGCTCCAATTGTCAGAACAGCTCAAAGAGATGCCTACACATTTTCTCTCTTAAATACCTGTTGAAATCATCCTCTCCTTTCTATCCCTACTGCTAGTGCTTAACTTCAGGACCTCAACATCTCTTGCTTAAATAATTACAACTGGGCTCCCTCTCCAGTATCCCCTAAGTCCAGGTGAAACAACCTCCAGACCAATGACACTGTGGACAAAAACCTGATCACTCTAAAAACTAACTGTGTGCATGGAAACAAATAGTCCAAGGGACTTGTGGACCATGGGAACCTCAGTCTACATGACTGATACCAGAAGAACTAGACGGTGCCCAGCTACCACTGACAACCATTCAGAAAGGGATCAAAACTAGAGATCCAGGATAGAGTGGGAGAGAAATATGGAACAAAACTCAAAATCATAAAAAAGACCAGGCTTACTAGTTTGGTGGAGACTGGTGAAATCCTGAGACTATCGTCCCTAGTCACCCTTCAGGTCTGGAATTGAACTCATTCCTGTGGCTTAACTTCCAGCCAAACAACAGATAGGCATAAATGGTGAACATTTACACCAGGTAGGCACACTCCTTGGAACAATCAACCATGGGAGATTAGAAGGGCAGTATTTGCACAGGGAGAAATGGAGAAGGCAGGAATGCATGGGAAAGGAGGACATAGGGAAAAGGTAACCTCAGGGAGGAAATGAGAAGACAGCTGTTATACTGTGGGGATTGCAATCAACATCATGAAACAAAATGTGTATGAACTGTTGAATGGGAAATGAATCTTTTTTGTAAACTTTCACCCAAATCACAATTTACAAAAATGGGGGTGGGGGGAGGAATATTCTCTGGGCTCCCTAATGCCTACAGGGGGGAGTGGAGTCAGATCCGACTCATGGCGACCCCTCCTTGAGCTTCTGAAGCGGTATCACTATGGAAGTAGATTGCCCAACCTTCCTTCTGAGTGGCTGGTGGATTTGAACCTCCAGCCTTCTGGTTAGCAGTCAGATGCCTTAGGCACTATGCCACCAGAGCTAATGCCTATAGGCATTCAAATTCTTTCTGATCTGCCACCAATCTTTCTCTCCAGTTTTACCTCTCACTATGGATCTTAAATTCTAATCACTCTGAATTTCCTCTTTCCTGAATTAGCTATACATGTTTTATACCCCCATGACTGCAAATACATCTCTTTCCCTACTGACCTTTCCTTTCTCTACCTGACAAACTCATACTTAGTCCTTAACAACAAATGAAAATGCTGTATCTTCTCACTCTCCCAGCAAACCAGTCACTGCCTGCTAAGTGCTCCCATAGTACTTATCTATTCACTGTATCATTTTATGTGTCTCTCTTCCCACTAGCCTGTGAGTTCCACAAAAGGAAGGGACCACAACTCATTTACACTTCACTCTCAGGGCCTCCCACATAAAAGAACTCAAACATTTATTTAGCAACCAAACTAATCCCAGGCTACGCAACTCAACTTGAGGCAACCTCCTAGCAGCAACAAACCTTCCTAGTGGTATTTCAAAGCTGAAAACCCTATTTCCTTTATTGGCTCCAATACAATTTTGTTGCACATTTAAGTATTTCCTCATAATGAGTTTCACAGTCAAACCCATCTGACTCATTCACTTCCTGTAAAAAAAGGCTTTCACAGAACTGGAACAGCTGGACTAGCTAAGCTGCAGTTTCAGCAAGTCAGTCTCCAATTATGTCTGTCTGATTATTTACTGGGGTGTAGGTTTTAAAAAGCAGAGCAGGGAAAAAGCACAGCAGGGAATACTCCTGGCACATGGGATCGGGATCCCCTAACAAGAGACCAGAGTCATGAGAAACTGATGGGTCAGAAGCCATTCAAGTGCTTTCCATCCTGTAGCCTGTACCTTTGTGGGGCTGCTCCAGCCTAAGATGACCTTCAAGAATGTGTCAAGACACAGGGAAGAGGTAACTATGTGGAGGAAGTGGGAAGAGAACTGCTGCATCGTGGGAAATTACAGTCAGTATCATGAAACAAAGTGTATGTGAACTGCTATATGGAAAATGAATTTGCTCTGTAAACTTTCACCCAAACCACAATTAACAATTTAAAAAAGAAAAGAATGTGTCAAGGTCCAGGAAAATGAAGTAGTACCATGGAAAGTGCATCGAGTCCAAAGCCTTGGGTTCTTCTTTTAGCTCTGCCATAGAATCGCTCGGTGTGGGAAGGGGCCTTTCACAATGGCCATCTACTTAGGTGGTTATCAGATTCTAGTTCATGCAACGGCTGTGCTAGAATCACCAGGGAAACTTTTTTAAACCAGATTCCAAGCTCCCACTCCAAGAGATTCCAGTTTATTAATTCTGGGACAGGGCCCTGAAATGTCTTTATGGGGCTCCCCAGGTGACTGATAGGCACTCAAGTGTGGGATCCAGTCTACCTGCCATCTGTCGCTTGAATCCCTCTGATAGTCAAATGGTCATCTGGTCTCACTCAAACACTTCCAGGAATTGACAGATCAGTATCCATTATGATAGCCCATTCCTTCTTTTGACTTATATAGATTTCTCTCATATTCTCTATACTAACCAAAATTAGTTTCCCTATAGCTTCTGCCCACTGATCTTAATCTATCTTTTGGCAGGTGTCACAGAAAGTAGTCTAATCCTTTTACTGGTTGAGAGCCCTTCAGATATCTGAAGGCAACCAACTCCTCTACCTCCCTGCCCTTCTTTGCCTATCTTTATCCCTCTCCAAATGTCTGCTCCAGGGCATTCAACTAACTACCTCTCATGTAGCATCTGTTACGCTCCTCTGAACATATTCTGGTTGGTCTAACTGATGAAATGACCAATCAAGTCACAACCTTTTTAGATCATAAAGCTTTACATATTTTTAACACAAATTCATAGAACTGATTTTCCTTATCTATCAAATGGAAATAGGCAGGTAATAAAGATTGTATCACCAATAAGCCAACAAGATACAGCATAAATGCTGTTCAGCTGAGAGTCAGTGGCAGTTCCAATGGAGAGCACAGCAGTGGGAATTCTGTAAAACGCACACTCTGCCTTCCTGAGGCAGGCAGCCTAACATAGTAAATGGAGGATCCTGAGTCACAACGGTTACAGTGCAGTGGAAAGAACACTGAACTTCTGTAAATCACTTAACCTTTCTGAACCTGTTTTCTAATTTCATTAAGAAAAAACAATTCCACTGAAAATTAAATCAAAATGAGATGATCGATGGGAGATGTCTGACACAAAGATACGGTTCAATACAGGTATGCTATTCACTGCTGTTCGAGTCGATTCTGATTCATGGCAACCCCATGTAGACTAGAACTGCTCCCTAAGATTTTCTTGGCTGTAATCTTCATGGAAGCAAATCACCAGGCCTTTATTCCACAGCACTGCTGGATGTGTTCAAACTGGTAGTAGGGTAGGGTAGTAGTTAAGTGTAAATTTTTTGCACCACCCAGAGACACACACATATGCTGCTATTGTTGTTGTTGTTGTTATGTGCCGTCGAGTTGGATTCAACTCATAGCAACCCCTCCTTGGGTTTCCAAGGCGATATCACTACAGAAGTAGATTGCCCAATCTTCCTTCCAAGGAGTGGCTAGTGGGTTTGAACCACCAGCCTTCTGGTTAGCAGTCAAATGCCTTAGGCACCATGCTACCAGATCTCCTACACATATGCTACTTCTTATAATTCCAACTGGTTCTGTCACGAGTTATCCATTTGCTTACCTGCTATATTTTCCCTTGCCACTGGAAAGAATACCACCACTCAGTGTGCCCCCTGAGAGGGCTGCAAAGCTGGCTGTTTCACTGTAAGGGCCCTGCATAACACTGAGTCCATCCGTAGGGCTGCCACTGGTGCTCAACACGCTAGTTAGGCCTTCAATGCTGCTTTCCCCAATGCTGGGGTTCTTGAGGGCTCGCCAGGCATCTGCCACTGAGGATGAAATAAACACTTCAATTCAAGATAGAATAGCATCAAAACAGAGTCTGATAGATATTTCCTGCAATGACTTTCAGAGTAGAGATTTTCATGTAAAAAAGTACTCATTTATTTGAACACTTAATGTATACTACTATGTATAGTCACATCAGTTGTTTTAACACATGTTCATATTTAATCCTCCCAAAAACTAGGCATTACTGGCCCCAATTTTAAATCAGTAAATGAAGGCTTAGAACCAAATGACTTGTCATAGTTAAGTCACACAAAACTACAATTCTGACTCTAAGTCCAATATTTTTTTCCACTACACCATACCTGCCATCTAATCAAAGATTTCAAGATACTTTTAGGTCAAATGCTAATTCTAGCAGGAAGCTTAAAAAACCCTCCATGTCACAGGTTAGTTGATATGGTACTGTGGCAACAACATTTAAGTATAAGTCAGAAGACCTGCTCTAATCTTAGCTCTGCTGAAGCTCTTGACCCCATTTAACAGATATGGAGACAAAGACTTGTTAAGTTCCCATTAAATGGAGATAATAACAATCCCTGCTCTCCCTCTTCAGAGGGCTATTATAAAATGCAAGAAAATAACTGTGTAAAGTCCCGTGAAAATCAGAAAGTAGTGTTCAGGTATAAGACTATTATAATCACCACTATCACCAGCATACTTGGAGTTACTTGGAATCCTAATAGTTTGTACCTGCCACACAGAGGCAAGTACCAGGGGAATTAACCTAGTAACTCTGGAACAAAGAAATGAAAATCTAAAAATACTTTACTCTTCTACAAAGCTCATTATCCAAAGTAACCCAATGACAATCTCTGTAAAATGTGCTTAAGTTTATTAATGTTTATCTTGTATCCCATAAAGTCAAATGCAAAAAAAAAAATCCTGCTTTTACCTGTGATTGGACCATCATCTTCATCAAATTCGATTTTCACCCCCTTTCCATTGGCTGTGCTAACTCCACAGCCTCCTCCACGACAGAGAGAAATAGGCACAACCCCATAGACATATGCTAGCATAATGGGGACACCAATACCTAAGGGAAGAGAAGGAAACGTGTCAGCAGGCCACCAGTTATAACTGCCCTGAATTCTCCTTTCTAGTCTGGGTGTGGACAAACCACCTTATAAAAGGCCAAGGAATGACATGACTATCTCAAAAAGATAGCCTAGTGTAACAGAATGATGCTGCACTTGGAATCAGAACGTCCTGGATTAGAATTTTAGCTATATGACTTTGGACATACGCTCGCAGGGTTGTCAGAATTAAATGAGAATGCCCACCATAGTATATGCTGCCTTCATTTTTCCCCTTCTACTCACTTCTGAAGGCTAACTCTCCCTCCAAAAAATAAATAATCGTATTACTGTAAGGCAGAATGGCTTTGTTACTAAAAGCACAGGCTCTGAAGTCAGACTGGCTATTCATGCCCCAGCTGAGTGATCTTGAGCAAATTACTGTATCTGTATGTTACAACTGTACTCTTGTGAGATTTTGAGTGAATTAACACATGCAAAACAATCAGAACTGCTCCCTGCACATGGAGAGCCTCAATAAATGTTAGTATTACATTATTATTATTCTAAAATAAACCCATGTTTCCCAAAATACTAAGGCATTAAAATAATTTTATTTGTGAGTTCTGTGACTCCGTGACAAGTAAAGAGAAGATGCAAAGCGAAAAACTAGAGCTTAGGGTAACCTTCTTTAATTCAATTTTTTTCTGTGTAACAGACCAAGTTCTAGGGACTATTTATGAATAAAACCCAATGTCATCGAGTCAATTCTGAGTCAACCCCCCCATTGGGTTCCTGAGACAGTAAATCTTTACAGAAGTAGATTGCCTAGTCTTCTGCATAGTGGCTGGTGGGTTTGAACCACCAACCTTCTGGTTAGCAGTCAAATGCCTTAGGCACTGCGCCACCAGAGCTCCTTTATCACCATAATGGTGCCTAATCAAGCAATTGAACTACCAAGGTGGGTTTGGCATAAAATCTAGGAATCTTTAGGGTGAAATATCTGGCCAGCTGGTCAAACTGCTATGTTCAGAAAGCTGATAGGAAATAAGAACAAGAAAGGGGAGGAAAGTAATGGAGAGATGGATGGAGGAAGAGAGGAAAGAGAAGAATCAAGGTCCTGACTCACTTACCAACACTCACTGCAGCAATAACTGGAGATGCAATAACTGACAAAGTCACTCCTCCTGTGATAGCTAAATTCCTCTTGTGCTTGGAGGTTTTCCTTCCCTCATACCTGCTATGGATCTAAGAATAAAAAAAAGAAAATTCAGGTCAACAGGTTAGTTAGGTCATCAGACTTTTTGTCAGGAAAAGAAAAGGACAAGTAAATTCACTTATAAATTATCTATATCAAAACATATCTTCCATCCTAAAAAGTTACCTTTTTTCAAATTTTAATCTATGTCAGACCTGGAAGATATAAACTAATGCAGAAAACCTAAAATGAGACAAAGTAACTCAAGGGAATGAAGTAAGCATTTCATCTTTAAGTGACTGAAAGAAACCAGGCTCAGGCTTTCAAGAGATCTGAAAAGTCCTTTAGAAAATCCATTTAAGAAACTAAGGTTATTTTTATCTGGAACCAGCTAGTTTTCAGAGAGCTCTGAAATATAAGCTCTTCCCCAGTTCCCTCAAACCTTTACCATCACAACTGAAGCGTACAAGTATATGCACAGAACCCAGCATGTCTTACCTTCCTGCCAACATAAACAGGAATGCCAATGACCATGGCAGGAATGGCAATGCCAGCAATGAGGGAAATTCCCACTGGAGCACCAATCAACGTGCCCAGCTGCCAAAGAATTTTCTTCTTACGGCTCCATGGTTTCTTGCCCCAGAATGTGCAGCCAGAGGGGCTGCAGAGGAAACATACTGAAGTTAATATCAATATTACAAGTGCAGCTGTTGTCATCAGAGAGTCTGATAAGAGCAAGAGCTTTCTTTTCAATAAGAGTAATTAATAGAGCAGTTACAGGAAATGAACTTAATACACAAAGAAGAGCAAAGGACAAGGGTGGACTACTATGGCTCTTAATTTTTTTTTTTTTTTAAACTGTGATTTGGGTGAAAATTTACAAAGAAAATTTATTTTCCATAAAACAATTCATACACATGTTGTTTCATGACATTGATTGCAATCCTCATAATGTAACAGCTCTCTTCCCACTTTCCTCCCTGTGGTTACATTTTCCCTGTGTCCTTCTTTCCTATGCATTCCTGCCCTCTGAGCTATCTCCCTGTGCAAATACTGCCCTTCTGATCTCCCACGGTTGACTGTTCTAAAAAGTGTACCTACCTGGTATAAATGTTCACCTTATATGCCTATTTTTTGTCTGGAAGCCACAGGAGTGAGTTCAATCCCAGGTCCGAAGGGTAACTAGGGGCCATAGTCTCAGAGATTTCACCCCTCTCTACCAAACAAATAAGCCTGGTCATTTTTATAATTTTGAGTTTTGTTCCACACTTCTCTCCCACTCAATCCAAGATCTCCTATTTTGATCCCTTTCCAAGTGGTTGACAATGGCAGCGGGGCGCCATCTAGTTCTGGTCTCAGGGGTCAGTCACATAGGCTGAGGTTCCCATGGTCCACTTGTCTGTGTGTCTCTGGTTTTCTTCATTCTGCTTTGTTCTAGATAAGTCCAACTGTTGCATTTTAGATGGCCACTTGAAAGTTTTGAAGACCCCTGTTGCTACTCACCAAAGTTAAATGTAGAACATTTTTGTGCAGTATGTTATGCGAATTAATCTTAACAACGTCCTCTGCAACCACGGTCCTGAGCCTCTGGTCCCAGTGACTCATTCCCTCAGGCTGATATGGTATCTCACTGTTGTTTTGATTTGCATCTCTAATGGCTAACGACCCATGTGTTTGTTGGCGGCCTAAATACCTTCTTTGGTGAAGTGTCTGTTTATGTCTTCTGTAGGATTCTTAACTTTCTTTGCCTCCAGACTTTCTTAAACCACTGCGGTGTAGTAAATTACTTACTGTGGCTTTTCTACCCATAAGTCTTTGTATTTTTGAGGTAGAATTTGCCAATGGCTGTGGCTAAGAAGTTATCATAACTTTTCCCCATTAGCTCTATTATATATGTGGACACTCTTATAGCATACACAAACATGAATGCAGAAATATCTTCTGCCAAACTTATATATAGTCATGGGTATATTTCCTTTTGCCCAGACATATTTGATCACTTAGCCTGTCTACCTATATATCCACCTATAGATTAATGTTTGTTATTACTGATAATACAATATTTGTATATGTAAAAGTATTTATTTTTGTTGTCTGTACTTCTTGTGCACTTTTCTGTGTCTTCCTTTTCCTTAGTGTTACTGTATTAGTCACTCACTAATATATAAAGGTATATTACCTTTCCCTTCGCCCAAATCAATGTTTCTTACCTATCTAGCAATTTTCCCCTCCTTCCCTCCCATACCTGGTAACCAACAAAGAAAGCTTCCTTCCATATGTAAACCTTCCCTTGACTTTTTACCATAGTGAACTAATATAAAATTTGTCCTTACTTCACTCAGCATAACATCCTCCAAGTTCACACATTATGAAGTGTTTGACAGATCTACATTATTCTTTAGTGTTGCACAGTATTCTATCATGTGTATGTACCATAGTTTGGTTATCCATTCCTCCACTGATGGGCATTTAGGTTGTTCCTCTCACTTCGCTATTGTGAATAGTGCTGCAATGAACACAGGTGTGCATATATCTATTCATGTCCTGGCTCTCACTTCTTTAAGATATATATCTAGTAATGGGATTGCTGGATCACATGGTATTTCTATTTTCAACTTTTTAAGGAATCGCCATACCACTTTCCATAGCGATTGTATCATTTTACAGTCCTACCAACAGTGTATGAGAGTCTCATTCTTCACATCCTCACTACCATTTGTAATTTTCTGTCTCATTGAACTTTGCTATTATTGCTGGGGTGTAGTAAATTACTTAGTGTGGCTTTTCTACCCATAAGTCTTTGTAAATTCTGAGGTAGAATTTGCCATGAGTAACTGAGGAGCTCCTGATTGCTAAAGTTGTCCACCTGGAGTATTTCTGTTGTGAGTGGCACAAGACAATGTTCTAGGAGGTTCCAGCTCTCTCTCAGGTGCTTAGAATTCTGATGTTATGATTGGTTGGTTTGGCCACTCTGCAAGGCTCAAAAGGAGGCCTCCTAGAGGCAGAGTTCTTTCCGGCTGCTGGCTGAGGAAGGACACACGCCTGAGAGACACGCGCTGCTGGGAAAGAGACGCAAGAGCCAGGCATTGCTGAGAGAGACACCGAAGGACACGCACTGCTGAGAGAGGGACTGTGAGAGACTGCTGGCTGAGAGACGGCGGACTGGGAGAGAGACTGAGTGTTTTTCCTGAACTCAAATTGTAACCTGGTGCTTCCCTAATAAATCCCATAATCTGTGAGTTCTGTGTGCCACTACAGTGAATTATCGAACACAGAAGAAAGGTGGTGAGTGCTGTGGGAGGAACGGCTGGTGTCAGGCTTGATGAAAGGGCTGGAGGGAGGCAGCATGTCTGGCCTCACAGGAATAGGCCTTGGGCTACTGATCATGAGGTTCTGTCTGCCTTTTGTGCAGTTAGAGGAGCTCAGAAGATGTGGCCTCCTTGCCCTTTTAGCAATCACCAATACTGATCTAGCTTCCTTGACTAATCCAACTAGGATCTTACACAGCCTATATACTCTGCTATCTCATCCACGTGCATTGTGCCCTGCAGCTAATGAACATTCTGACTTGCAGTTTTCTTAGCATGTGCCCTACTATACCTGATAGATTCTCTACCACAACAGACTTCTTCACATCCTATGTATCATTTGGTACTGAATTTGGATACTTATTACTCTCAGTCCTTCTGAGCCCAACCATTTTTGCTCACTCCTTTTGTCTCTGTATATATGCTTCTCTTTCTACTAGATGGGATAAGCAATTGTGAAAATACAGATCATGTCTCATTCACTCCTGTTTCCCCAATAACTGGAACACTGTAAGTACTCAAATGTTTGCTAAATTGGAAATGATGCTTTATCTACACAATGAATGCTAAATAATAACTCCTCCAAGACAATATTTTAATACTGATTTAATTCTTTGGGAACCCACCGCATGCATGAAACTGTTTAAAAAAAAAAGAAAAGAAAGAAAGAAATAACCTTGGCCTCAAGAAACTTATAGGTAATACTAGACATGTACATGAAGTAAAAAGTAGTGGGGATATTTATAAAAAACAAAGATAAAGGAATGTCAATAAAGAAGAGACAGAAAAAGTTAAAGAAAGTGTCACAGATAAAATGGCATTTAAGTGGTTCCTGAAGGATGGATAAGAATTAAACAAGTTGAGATAAAAAGAGGATACAGAAAAGAGAAGGGTGAGGTTATCAGAAAGCATTTCAGGCAAAAGAAGAACACAACTAAGTATAGGGTGAGACAGCATAGAAGAGATACAGGGAAGAGAAAGTCCAGATTATCTGGAATACAGCAAATACAAAGACAAAACAGAAAAACTCAGAAAAGTAGATTAGGGCCAGACTGTGGAATATGATCAGAGGGATGCTTCTGAGGAACAAAGAGTTTTACGTTTTACAGTTTTCTTATGCTGTCATGAGAAGACAACTACATCTCTTTGATATCCTTTTCCTAAATCAGTTAGCAAACCAGACTACATAAGCCACGGGGACATTTCCCATCTCACCTGAGGTAATGCAAGTCTGAGATCTCTTTCATACAAAGCCAACAAAATTCACAGCCACAAACTGCACAGGTCATGTGATTACAGCTTCCATCATTCATCTTGATAATGTAAGCACTGCATCGTGGGCATGACTTGATGTCATCTGCTAAGGGGGTGGGAAGAATGGGTAGAAAAATAATCACAAACCAAACCAAACCCACTGCTGCTTAGTCAATTCCAACTCATAGCAACCCTACAGAACACAGCAGAACTGCTATATCTTTCTCCTGTGGAGTGGCTGGTGGGTTCGAACTGCTGACCTTTCAGTTAGCAGCTAGGCACTTAACTACTATGTCATCAGGACTGATGAGTAGAAAAATACCACCAGTTAAACCTAGTCTGATTTAATTATTCCTAGAAGTATATGAAAGAAAAAAATGACAAAGCTGTCAAGAATTCTTGACTGAGAATTCCAAACTGTGTAACAAACTTTACTGAGGGCTGGCTATGTCTAGACCAGGAAATTTCATTAAAGAGATTCTGTCTCATATTAAGCTGCCTGCCTATCCCAATAAATGGCATATTACACAGCACTTGAACCATACTTAAGTAAGGAGATTCCCTAGAGAGAAAGACGGTTCCACGAACACTGGAAATTCCACCAACCAATAGGCTGACAGAATGAAGACCAGTGTGCTGCCAGGAAGAATAGGCTGCACCCTGATACTGCCTTTAAGTTTTGAGTAATTTTACTTGAAACTCATTTTTCAGGCTCACAAAGTGTCACTGTGATTTGCTATTAATACAACTTATAGTTCCTTCCTATGATCCTTTCAAATTTGAAACTTAAAAACAATTGGTAATGCTGTGTAGCATACACCTGGCAATTTTCACTGCAAGTGAGAACTATCCTATCATAAAGACAATTTATGAGATTATGCTGTGCCAGGAAAAAGTGAATGGTAAAGTCTTTCCCACTAACCTCTCCCAAATGACATCAGTGAAATAAAAACCATTTATGAAAGGCAATAAACCCACATCCCAAAGTTATTCCCTTTCTTTAAGTCTGTATCCTACTGTAGCAGTTTAGTTTGTGTGTCACTTGGCTGGGCCTGGTTGAGTGGCTGGGCAGTTGGATGTAGTTATTCCCCATGATGAGACTGGTAATCAACTCCATGGTGGAATCTACTGTGAGCAGTTGAGTAGCTGCCTTAGGGAATGTGGTCTGCTTCCTGTACATAAACAGAAGCCTTGGGGAATGGTCTTGGACCCTGCACGTAGCCATGTCATTGTTGTTCAGCAGCCTGCCATGCTCTGCCGACCATAAGACTTAGAATGGACTTGAATTAATGGCCTGCTGTGTGGTTTGGTAACATCAGGACTGTGCCATTTTATTTGTCGATCTTGGGCTTGTTAGCTTCAGCAACCAGTAGCTGCCTGAATGAAGAGATGTCTCTAGCTCCAGTGGGCTGGGAGCAAAAGGCAGAGCTAAAGCTCAAGGTCAAGGGGCTTTCACCCAGCCCCTAGAGCCTGGCACTTTGAACTTGGACTTAAAGCCTCCAAATTGCAAGAATAAACTCCTGTTTGTTAAGGCCATCCCATTTGTGGTATATGATTGTCAGAGTGGCACTAGGTAACCAGAACACCTACTTTCAAAATCAATTCATATACTCAAAGCTAGTTGGAAAATAGTACCGATTTAACACTAATTAAATGCCTTTCTGCTTACAATGAAAGTTTTGATAAAGCACCCATCAAAAGGACCTAGTTACTCTCCAGTATGAGACATATTACTAAAAAGGCAGAAGCTAGAGAATTCAATTTGTTGTACAGGCATACCTCAGAGATATCCCGGGTTTGGTTCTAGATCACCGCAATAAAGCAATTATTGTAACAAAGCAAGTCACACAAATTTTTCAGTTTCCTAGTACATATAAAAGTTATGTTTACACTATACTGTAGTCTATTAAGTGTGAAATAGCATTATAAAAAAGTTTGAAATATTTTGAGAATTACCAAAATTGACAAAGAGATACGAAGTGAGCATATGCTATTGGAGAAATGGCACTGGTAGACTTAACTTAATGCAGGTTGCCAAAACCTTCAATTTGTGAAAGCTGCAGTACCTGAGAAACACAATAAATCAAAGCACAACAAAACGAACTTTGCCTATAGTCTGATTTTACCTAGACTGGATAATATATAATGGTCAAAACATGGAAGCCACATATCAAATATAATACTGAAAGTACTGCTAAATAATATTCTCTGCCCTCTGATCCCAGGGAATACTTTGTTATACAGTAAGATAACCTCTCTCTTCCAGCTTTTGGCCCATATTATGAAATGCCAAAGGAGGAGGCAGGCAACTAACTTATACCTGGTCCAGATTCTTGTCCATAACTGAGTCCTGAAGTGTGCTTGGTCCGTACTCGCAAAGTCTGCGCCCTCTGCTGACGGGCCATATCGCATGTCTGATTCGGATGCCATATCTGCTTGCAGTGGTAGCAGAACTCAGTCTGGCAGCCTTCCCTCTCACAGGTCAGCTTTGGGCAGCTGGCACAGCCATAGGCAATAACAGCATAACTAGGTAAGAAAATAGGAAGAGATACCAGTAAGGTTAAGAACGATCTAACCAACACATATATTATTCATCACTTCTAGTGGGTTAACACCGCTTGGCACCGCAGCCCCCAAAAGATAATGATGCTGAGAAAAGAATACACACACATAGAAGCACAAGTGTGCCTGACCAATTGTAAAGCGTACTTTGTAAGAAAGTAGATCTCTTCTTAAAAAATATTTGTGTTCTTCAAACACAAGTATCCTTTTATTTCCTGAAAAAATAGGGAAAATATATGTAGTCTAATTTCTAGCATTTATTCTATCATAATTTAAACTGCTTTAGGAACAGTTTGCCATAGCAAGTTTTATAAATAACAGGGTACAAAACTATTTCCTTTCAATAGCTTGCTATATTTAGATATGAGAATTTGTTTACATGAAGGGATGGAACATTTGTAGAATACAGAAACATAGCAAAAACTAAAGCAAGTGCACTTTTTCATTTTTAAGTTCTACAGTAAAGCTAGTGTGATGTGACCACAGCCAACAAGACAACAGCTACAGACAGATTCACGATCAACTCCTTCTATGCTGAAAGCTCATCCTATCTTTCTATACCTTATTTCCCCCTCTTCAACTCATATTTCTATCGTGAAATGTCTTCTCTCTTGACAGTCTCCAGATTCCAAAACCACAACCCATCTATCTTATTAATACAGTAGACTTTATTTTCCTCTTCTATTCTGACACATATTCCTAGATTAAAGATGGGCAATTGAAAATCTATCAACACTAGCATGAAGTGTTACTTGTAATTCATGTTGATTTACCAAGAATTAGTCTCTCACAAACAATTCAATACTTTTAACAATTATTAGCCTTTAGTTTAAATCTGACGGAGCTCTGGTGCTGTAGTGCCTAAGACATTTGACTACTAACCAGAAGGCTGGCAATTCAAACCCACCAGCCAGCCACTCCTTGGAAGGAAGATTGAGTGATGTACTACTGTAGTGATACTGTCTCAGAAACCCAAGGAGGGGTCGCTATGAGTCTGATCCGACTTGACAGCTGTCAAGTTTGTTTTTTTTGTTAATCTAAATGCCAACTAAATGCTCAAATTATCCTAATTAAGTAGATACTTGTCTCAGACAAAATAAAATAAAGAAACAAATGGTGAAGAGAAGACTGGCAGCTGTGAAAGCTCACCATACAATTTTTAAACAGGTCAGTGATCGCAGGTTTACGAGTTACCACCTGAACTGTGCTGTCCCTTATTGCACACTCTCCCTACAATAATCAAAGACCTCAAACAATTTACGCATAAAGCTAAAAATGTTTTCTTGGATTTATTATTTATGGTTGTTTACTTGAATGTAAACTAGATGTTCATGAAAGCAATTCAAGTTCTTAGGTTTATCATAGATTCTACAAGTTGATTTGAGAATGACTTAAAAATATAGATGACAATGGATCCTCAATGTTATGTAATACAGACTGTATTAAAATTTTTCTCAGAAAGAACAAAATGAGAATAGGTCAATGTGTGAATGCAAATGATTCATATCCTGGAGGAGTTCTCAGCAAATTTACCCCACCTAGGTGCAAAATAACTACTAAAGATAAACAATGTTTTTCCTGAAGAAAGTGACATGCTTGCTATTTTGTGTTAAATGGGAAAGGTACTAGGTGACCTCAGCAGAGTATTAAAAGCCAATTTGTGCAGAAACAAATTACACAGATGGTAGGTCAGGAAGCCTTGATCATTTCATGATCCAGTCCTACCTCACGTGGTAGAGGGGTAAATATTAACAAATTCCAATTTTTTAATAAGCACATTTGGTAGGACTGATGTCAATTTTGGGTATGGAATTTGGTTCCAAGGAAGTAAAATAATCCCAAAGTACTCATGAATCAACAGCAACCTATTATAATGACACAGAATTACTCAGGGCACGAGACTTGGCATTCTGGTTTTTGGGCACCTAGTCTGGGCTCCTTGCCTCTGACTCATGCTGCGTGACACTGAGCTAGCTAAAATCTGCCAACCTTAGCTTTTATCCTAAAATGGAGGGATAGGTGTGTGACACCTTCAAGGGTAACTAAACATATGTTCTAAAATTTCATTTGAGAGCTTGCCCTGAAAAGCATGGCTTAAAAATAAATAAATAAATAAATAAATAATCACACACTTTGTCTTACTTCCCTGCCTTCACATGCTATTCCTTCTCCCCAGAAGCCCCTTCCTTACTTCTTGCCCTGGCAAATACTTACCCACTCAAGAACCAGCTCAAGTATCATTTTTTTTTTAAATAAAATCTACTTAACCTCTCTACAGGTAGCTGGTTGCCTATCTAGTGCCTGTGCATAATTGTTTTATAATACTTAACACATTATATCATAATTTTCTGTTTATATGTTTGTTTCCCCAACCAGACTGGACTCAAGGATAGTATCATCCATTTTTCCATCTCCAGGGTTTAATATAATGGTTCGTATCCAAATTTATTCATGTATCTATTGGTTTACTATATGCCAGATTGTTGTTGTTGTTGTTATGTGCCGTCAAGTCAGACCTGACTCATAGGGACCCCTACTTGGGTTTCCAAGGCAATATTATTACAGATGTAGATTGCCCCATCTTCCTTCCGAGGAGTGGCTGGTGGGTTTGAACCGCCAGCCTTCTGGTTAGCAGTCAAGTGCTTTAGGCACTACGCTACTAGCCAGGTAGTATAACTTAAACTCATTTTAGGGTTTAAGGATAAACCCATTTTAGGGATAAACCTCTAAATTTGAATGGGGCAATCTTCCCAGGTAGTTGAAAACTTCATCCTTGAGAACAAATCTATCCCCAACATCTTGTTTCTCCTCTTCCATGTCTTTCCTACCACTGCTCTCTCAGCTTTACCAACCATTCAGGTCTGCTAATTAGAAAACTCAAAGGGAGGGAGGTATAGAAGATTATATGTTGTTAATATAGGCACATCTTCCCCCATTCCTTAAATTCATACAACTTTTACTCATTTTATTAATTTCCTAAATCTTCAGAAACATCATAATGTGAAAGGATACACCACAGTGACACCTAACTTTGACACTAGAAAAAAATTCCCATTAGCATGAATTTGATCATGCCCCAACAGACCCCAGTGGTTAAGGAAACATGTTCTTATGCTTGTGCTTCCCATCCCCAGGCAATGTAAACTAGGTTATCCATTTACAAGCAGACTCTGAGTAAGTGCTGGGGGGAGGGGTGGTGGTAGACACATTCATCCTTTTAACAACTCCTGGGCACAAACAGTTGACTGGAGCTATACTCTCAGAGTCAAACCTAAGCCAAATTGTCACAATGAGCTGTATGTAACCCTTACTATCTTCCTTTTTCCTGCTCTAGTTCAGGCAGACTCAGTAGGCCAAGAGCTCCTATCTGGTTTCCTTATTCCCCACTCCAATCCAAATTCCATTCCAAAATGTTATCTAACAAAAAAACATAAACATATTACTCCTTTGCTTAAAATTCTTCAAGAGAAAAAAAAAAAAAAAAAGCTGTTCAAATGAGTCTCCACTGCCTATGGGAGTAAAACCTAACCTGCCTTTTCAGCTTTACCTCTACTGCTACCCTTATCATGCCCAGCACCATATACATCTAGAGGCTAACCAAACGAAAGAATCACAACATCCAGTGGAAATCAGAAGCTATTTTTCTCCTGGAATTAAAAACCGGGCACTGGCCCCGTATTTGTGACCACTGACCACATCACCAGGGAGCTCAGACATCTGAGAAATAACAGGATTTTAAAATTACTTTCTATTTATCTAACACCTTCAGTTGAAGATCTCAAAACACTTTACAAACATTAATTAAACCTCTTGACTCAGGAAAAGGAGTATGCCTACTTCAGGACTGAGAAAAGAAACTGGGTGCTCAACATTGTCCTTTGGCCACTACTTTACTAATGCACCACAAACAGCAGCATCCTCTCTAATAGGGGTTATGTTGACAAGCCCATGCTTTTAAAACAGCAGAACAAAATACTGTCCTTGGTTGGGGTTAACACCAGCATTCTAAGTCTGTCTCTATCACTTACTAGTTATATAACCCTGAGCAAGTCACTCAATTTCTCCAAACTTCAGTTTCCTCATCTGTAAAACTAGATCAAATCTACCTTACAATGTTCATAAGGATCAAATTAAATTACGTATGTCTGACACACATCTAGTCAGATGGCCAGCTTGCCTTATTTCTTTAAACTTTACCTTCTTGAAGCTCACAGTCAATACTTTCTTAAAAATGTACATATACAATTGTTACAATTCTTTTAACTACTTTTTTAGAAAATAAGTTCTGGACGATACTACCCCAATACTTGACTAAAATAAGAAATGGCCTGAATTTTTAATAACTTACAAATGAGTAATGGTTTACAGTTGTCATCAAGCTTGAAAAATAACTCGTCAATTTTTTATTGATGTGAACAAAGATAGAAATTAACTTCAGAGAAATAAAAAACAAAAGGGGATTCAGATACAACTAAACACCTTGCAGGATTGGTTTACTGGGTTTGAAGGCTTAAGGCCACAGTCTCATGGGACAACTCAAGTCTACTGGCATAATATAGGTATACAGGTTATGTTCTACATCCTAGTTTGGTGAGTAGCATATGGGTTCTTAAACGCAACCATCTAATACAACTATTGGTTTCTATGTGTCTGGAACAAAAGAGAAAGAATGAAACCAAAGACTCAAAGATGAAACTAATCTACAGGAAGATGAAACTCATCTATCCTGAGACAAGAACTAGATGGTGCCTGGTTACCACTACTGACCATTCTGATCAGGCACACAATGGATGGACCCCGACAGAATGAGAGAAAAATGTAGAACAAAACTCAAATTCTTAAAAAGTCCATTCTTACTGGACCATCTGAGACTAGAGGAACCCCAGAGGTTATCACTCTGAGATATCCTTTAAATTCTGAATTGAAACTATTGCTGGAACTATTTCAGCTAAATAACAGATTGGCTCATAAAATGAACAGTATGACTGAGTACTGTGCTCCTTTAAAAAAAATCATCTATAGAAGTGCCTAAGGCATTTGAGGGAGCTCTGGTGGCTGTAGTGCCTACCTAAGGCATCTGACTGCTAACCAGAAGGCTGGAGGTTCAAACCCACCAGGCCACTCCTCAGAAAGATTGGGCAATCTACTTCTGTAGTGATACCACCTCAGAAACCCAAGGAGGGGTTGATATGAGTTGGATCTGACTCAACTGCAGTGAGTTTGGTTTGTTTTTGGTTTGGTCAATAGTTACTCTAAAGCAAAGATGAGAAGGTAATGGAGGGTAGAGAAACTAGATTAAAGGAAATGGAACTAGAACAGAAATGAGAATGCTATTATGAAAAATGTAACCAATGTCACTGAACAATCTGTACAGAAATTGTTCAAAGGGAACCAAATTTGCTGTGTAAACTTTCACAAAAAACACAGATTAAAAAAAAAAAAAAAAGCCAATTCTGCCAATACTAGCCACCTAATGTTTACACACTGCAGCCCCCTCGCCTGGGTTCTAAGAAGCTCTGGTGGCCCAGTGCCTAAGGCATTTGACTGCTAACCAGAAGGTTGGTGGTACAAACTCACCAGCTACACCGCAAAAGGAAGACCGCAGAAGGAAGACCAACCGGGCAATCTACTTCCATAAAGATTTACTGCCTCAGAAACCCAATGAGAGTTGCTATGAGTTGGAACCAAGTTGGTGTCAGTGGGTTTGGTTTTGGGTGGTTTTATTTTTTTGGCCTAGGCTCAAGCTTTCCAGTCTAGCAAACCTAGCTGAGAAGGGTGAGTTAGACACCAAGGAGGAGATGAGGTCTCCTCTGGTTTAGGACCTATAAAGATGTGAATCCTGGCTCTGCTCTTAAAAGCTGTGTGATTTCAGGCAAGCACCTTCACCTCTCTACACCTCAGTTTCCTCGTTTGTAAAATGCAAATAACCAAACCAGGTTCCTGGAATGATTGTGAAAACTACAGAAAATGAGATACCATAAATAAGACATACAAAGGTTAGGAATAGTACCCAGTATGTACAAAACGCTCAATAAATATTAGCTGTTAATATGAAAAAATAATGGGAGCTTATTGAGAAAAGTGATCTGCATCTGTCACAGATCTGCTCTGAAGCTGCCACATTTCTTATTTAAAACTCAAGGATACTCACATAACAAGAATTATACAGTATTCTCTTAAGTGAACATTAATTTGGCAGAGAAAATAGATCAAAGGTGTCTGCAAAACTTAAATACCATATAAATTAACCTTTCAACACAAGTAAGATCTCCAGGCCACCAGATAGAAGCAGACCCTTTCTAAGAGCCTACATTGTCCTTTCTTATCATTAACTGAAAGTGAAAGTGATCTACCACTGATACAGCACCTTTGAAGGGAACGCTTCAAAGTAATTTAGAAACTTCATCTCCTTGAGATTAAAACAACACACTCATCTCTAAACAAGTTTGGCAGAACAAAAACACAACTCCTCTCTCTTCTAGACACTTTTAGATGGCTCATTCTGAAAGGAGACTAATGGCGACATCATGGAAACCTCAAAACAGCCTTGAGACAGGTTACAATTAAAAACCCTTCTTATCCAGAGGTGGGTGGGAAAGGGAGAGGAAACCACTCACTACAGGGGAGACACACATGAACTTGGGTGAAAGGAACAAAAATAAATAAAAAAGGACAATGTGGTTAAGACCAAAAAAAAAAAGCCCTTCTTAACTCCTTTGAAACAAAAGATCACACAGCATTTTACTAGCATTACATGTATACACTGCAAGGAGCCCCTAGCATCTTTTTTACCCCCAAAGCATGATACACAATAATAAAATTATTTGCCCAAGGTCACAGAGCAGGTAATGGCACAGAGTCTGATATACTGACAGTAACAGATTTTAAAGGGGAGAACTCTTCAGTGAATGTTCCGGACAGCAAAATCTGGTAGTATTATACTTCTGCAGATACTGCGTATTTTAACTCACTGACCATAAAAATTCAGTATACGTAGGGTATTAAAAAGACTGTCATCAAGAACTCAAGATCAGAGGGGCTAGAAAACATTTTCTTCTATTATACCAACCCCTGGGCATCTTTCTTCTCAGTGTCCCACTGCTTCTACAAAAAGCCCCTTTCTGGATAAAGAAAGGGCATCTGTCCATCCCTTATCCTGTCTAAGACAGCAGGGTAAGAACCCCAGGGTGCCTCCCAATAGCCTGGCACAGAGGCACACACTATCCAAAGCTCTCAGAGCTCTGCCAGTGAGATGTCCATCTCCCGTAGAGCCATTACTGTCACTCCATCCCAACTTAAGAGTAGTGGTTGTCAGGCAGAACACGCCTTCTTCTGCAATGCTGTTAAGTGTGCTGCTAACCAAATGGACACACCCCTCCAAAGCTTCGTCCCCTCACAAGGATATTTTCATCCCCTTCTTTGCCAAATATCCCTTCCTCATCCTCTTTAAGGGATAACCTCCTCCCTCTGGGCAGAGGGCATTCCCGGTCAAGAAAGTACCTCTTCCTACCTTCTGACTTGATGGACAGCTCCCTTCCCCTCACCTATTGCTCAAACCCCTACCACAAGCCCCTGGGGTGCTGGGTGCTTTTCCCCCCATCTATCTCCCTGGGCTTGCCAATGGTTCACGGTTACTAGCTCGCCGCACTGGCCGCCTTCCTCTCCCTCCCACTGCTCATCCCTCACCTCCTCCCTCAATGCTGGGACCCGCGTCTCGCCGGAGTCCGCCTCTTGCGGTTGGCCACACGCGGGGACCGTCCGCGGGCTGGGGGCGCGCTCAGCCCCCGCCACGCCCCTCCGCCGCAGCCAACTGCCCCCAGCGGCCACGCCCCCGCGCTCACCCGCAGTCGGGGGCCGGGCACCAGCGGCAGTCCGGGTCCGAGGCCAGGTAGCGGCGCAGCATGAACTCCTCGTACTTGTGCATGAGTGGTGGGTCTGCGAGCAGCAGGCGGATATCGTGAGGATTGAGCCGTTCGCTGCATTCAGGGCAGCTGATGGGTACCCGACTCTCGCTGATCTCCAGGCGCAGGTAGTGGCGGAGACAGTCCCGGCAAGAGCGGTGCGGGCAGCTGAGGAGGCGCGGGGCCCGCTCGGGCGGCAGCCTCACCAGGCACAACGGGCACTCCACCTCCTCCGGGCCCTGGTCGCCGCCCTCCGCCGCCTCCTCATCGTCGAACGCGGGTCCCGCCG